TCTCTCTGTCTCTCTCTCTCTCTCTCTCTCTCTCTCTCGCTTTCTTTCTATTTTCGGTAAAAATAGCTTGATTTGATTCCTTTCTAAAACACTTCCAAACCTACATTCAACAGAATATTAACTCTTTGACCACTTTCGAGACAAATCATGCGACTTTAATAAGTCTATCTTTATCCACAGGTCCCCGGGTTCGAACATGAGTTCCAGATGGAGCGACACCCGCCTGCAGACAACGAAGACTTCCCAACTTCCCAAACGGGACTAACAGTGCCTGATCCTGGTTTCCTGTCCCCAGTGGCAAAATCTGGGCCGCCGATCGGCACTGCAGACAGCCGGAGAGTAGAACGTCGCCACTCCCACAACCCGGGACTCAAACCTGCACCCCCCAACGACGGCAGCGGTGGGGGAGGCACAGGTGCGTTTAAAATTCCCAAAATAACGATAAACGCCGTGACGACTAACAACAGGTATCTTGGTGTCCCTACCCAGGAGTATTATCCAGAGGAGAGGCGGCACACTTTTAACGCCATGACCATGACTAGGCCTCAAATAAACATATCTCCAGCCGGAACCGTTTGCGTCAAATCACAGGAGAAACCCGCGGCTGCCCAAAGGATTTCATTCCTCCTGGATCCTAATGACAGCTCATCCCCGCCCCAGCAAGCACCCTCCGCTCCAGGTGGCGCCACCAGCTCCCCCTCACCCAGCCGGACGCGACTGACCGCCGGCTCGGCTTCCCCCCACACCACACCCTCCCCTCCCAGCAACGCTACCTCGTCCCCTGAGCCTGTGCGCCCGTCCAGCTTCAAGCAGGAGATGGTCGTGTTCAAACCTCTGCCTTACCCAACAGACTCCCGCAGCGCTAGCCCCTCCAGCAACGTCTCCAACTGTGGGAGTGAGAACGTCTGGAGTGACCGCTCCCTTAGAGCCTCTTCCCCGGGCCTGGCTTCCGTCTCGTCTGACCGCTCGGGGAAAACGGCGCGAACTGCGTCGCCAGTTTCTGTGATAGCCGCTGATGTCACCAGTTCTTACGGGACGTTTGACGTCACGACGCCGCCTAGCGCTTGGGAGAGGAGGGGGGAGAAACAGACAAAATCTCCGCGCTCACAACAGAAGGCGAGCACGCTACAAACTCTACAGGTCTCCTCTGCGTCAACGAAGTGTGCGGTGCAGCTAAATCCACGGCAGGAGAAAGCTGCAGAGAGAGGTAGCCCTGTGTTAGTACGGAGGTCTTCATCTTTTAAAGAGAGAAGCGAACCGCATGGAAAAGCCTCTCATAGCAGGCACAAGGCACGCCACCGCCCCCACCAGCAGCCCCCTGTCCATCGCCGGCCGGCCCGCACAATGGAAACCGAGATGACCGACTCGCCGGCCAGTGTTAGCTCAGGTCAAGCCAGTGTGAGTTCTGGGCCAGCCAGTATAAGCTCAGGGCCAGCTACGCTCTCCCCCTCCGTCAACACCGACGCCAACGCGGCCATACAGAGAAGTCGCTCCACTTCCGCACTGGGGTTCCACCCCGACACACCCACCCCACCTCTGGGCCACGCCTCTTCGCCATCTGGCCCCGCCCTCACTGTCAGCTATGCAACAAACCCACATGGAGGAGGCTCCTCCCTCTCCCCCCTCGCTGCCCATGGGCCCTCTCAGGCCACGCCCTCTTCCGTAGCTCCGCCCACACGTGATATTGACGTTGAGGAGGGGGGCGGCAGACCAAAGGAACACACGCCACATGATGATCGTGACCAGGACCCGGCTTCCTGATGACACTCAAACGACGGTGTTTGTCTATTAAGTCTTCTGGCCATGGGGGTTGTGTGTACGTCTACCAGCCTAATGGGCTCCGTGAGTTCACCTTTAACGCCATTCCCATGGCTTCTACAACGGGAACACACCCGCCCCCTTTTCACCCACGCTTCCTTCATATTTCTTTCCAAACAAAAATGGGAAATTTGAGGAAATAACGTGTTCCTCTTTAAACCCAGTTGCAGACTCGTGTGACGTCATGACGCTGGTCGCTGACGTCACAGGTCAGAAAGAAGAGCAGGTGTCAGGAGAAAATGAAGGCGGGGGTTGGAATGGAGATAACAGTGGTAATTATAGCAAACCAAGTCAAAATGGACAAAAAAATTGACACGTGACCATTTCTCCTGACAATTAGCGGACAGAGGGAAAAAACGACTTTTTAATTTCTTTTTAATTATTCTTTTATATGGTTCTTGATATCAAATCGTAAATATCCGCGTCATAAAATTCAATTATCAAGTTCCATATTATGATGATGATGATAAGGAAAACGATAAAAAAAAGAGAACGACGTTAGTTTTTTGTTTGTTTTGATTTGTTTTTTTAAATTCATAGGAGCTAAATCTCCAAGAATCTGTGTTATAACAGTCCCTATCGGTTGCAAACAAACGATGCAGTCTAGAACTTCTTCCACTCAATGCTAATTGCTATTGATCTTCACAATAGCCTGTTGAAGGATACATGCTTTGTGGACGTCGTGTGATACCAATAATATTATTGTTAGCCATTTGAACTTCACTGCTGTTATGTAGATTTGGTTCTGCAGGCCTCCATCGACAGTTACTGTTGTTATTCCACAAGATAGTTCTTCACTTTTATTTACGTTTTAATGTTGTGCTTGTTCTTTTAGATGTTTGCAGTGATCAAGATGACTGTACCCCACACCCACCCTTTCCTCCCTGCACCTTACTTTCCATAAACACATTTCCCCTCCACATTTCCCACTTCTCGAGGACCGTTGTGATTTTTTAAAGTTTGTCAAGGTTGATTTGTTTCGCACACTACATTATCATGTGACCAGTGTAACAACTTGGGGACATACGATTCTTGTCAGGGCATAGAGTTAAGGTTTAGATCTAGCTCCTGCAACCTAAAGTAGACCAGATTTATGTGGAAAGTTTTTTTTAAATAGAAGGGGTATGTGTGTTTTCAAGTAGATCCTATGTACTGTGCGTGTATGTATTTGTGTGTATCTACATATATATATATGAATGTGTGTGTGTGTGTGTGTGTGTGTGTGTGTATGT